TGCTTTTACAAATCCGCCATGTGAATACCAACAAAGGTTAGCCATTTAGCTGATTCTAAATCAACTTAAATAATTTTATTTCTTGTAAATCCTTGGTATAAACAATCGGAAATCTGTTGGAAATTGTTACTGTTATATAGCTATTTGAGAAGAACTGAAAAGCCTACCTTTGCGGCGATGAATTGTTTAACAAGCGTGAACACTAACATTGTTCATTGTTGGATTACCTGAAATTCTCCAAAAGCCTGGTTAAAAACTCAATCTTTGCCCAATGACCGACCATATGTATGGCTTCATTGAAGACGATAGAAAAATAACCACAATAAGCAAGAATTTGTTTCACATGTTTTAGGAAAAGTAACGTCTTGGCAAACAAAATTGGTGGAACTAAACTTGTACTTCATGACTTTGTTGTGCTTTGACATGTTGGAGTATCGTGAAAAATAGATTAGTGATTTGTCACTTTTTGTTCACTTCAATAGACATCAAAACTTGATTAAGTGAACAATAGATTATTCCATCATCAGATTTTGTTGCAAAAGTTTACTCCATATACGAGCCCCTTCCCACTTCAGTTGGCCCAACTATTGAAATCTTTTTTTCTTATCAAACACAAATAATAAAAATGTAGCGGGGTGTTATAGGTTTAAAATATTAACAATAAATATTTTGATAATATATAGTAAAAAACACCAACTTTATCACTCCATAATTAAATTAGCAGCATAAAAATAACACATATTGCAATTACAGCATATCAACCTATGTTCATTTCAATGCAAAATAAGTCTATAACGCATAGGTGGCTGTGAAAAATAAAAGCCATGAAAATTGTTTTTATTAATCATAGCTGTCAGAATACGTTTAAAATAGTTTTGGGTACTTAAGGTTTTCAAAATGGGTAGAGGAAAGGTTATTAGTGAGAAAATTCGGTTACTGATAATTAAATTTTTTAATTCTGGGAAATCAAACCCAGAAACTGCAACTTTGTTAGACTTATCGCGGTACTGTGTGAGAAATATTGTTAGAAGATATAACGCAACTGGTTCAGTTAATATTAAGCCACGATATGTGAAAAAAAGTAATATCATAAATGCCGACCGAAGAGCATTAAGAAGAATAATCGTGAAAAACAGGCGTGCCAATTATTTACAATTAAGTGCTCTGTGGAGTGACGCTGTTGGAAGGAGAATTTCGAGGTCCACAACTCATAGAGAGGCCCACAAACTGGGATTTAGCACTTGCAAGGTAAGTTTTCTTATAAAAAAGTGAAGTAAAAACCCTAAAGTTGCACAACTTGTTTACAGGTCAAAGAAAAGCCACTATTAACTCCACTGCAAAAGAAAAATCGGCTTAGATGGGCTAAAGAACATAGACAATGGACACCTCAACAATGGTGTGCAATACAATGGAGTGATGAGGCCCGATTCGAAGTTTGTGCTGGTGACAGTCGCAGTAGAGTTATTCGCAAAAAAATGAAGCATTCCATGTTGACTGTCTGAAGAGAAAAGTGAAACTTCCAGCATCCTTTATAGTCTGGGGCAGTATGTCATGAAAAGGAGTAGGAAAACTTCATTTTATTGATGGAAATGTGGATATACACAAATATTTGGCAATTTTAGAAGAATCGCTTTTACCAGTGATGGAAGAATCTTTGACATCCGGCCAAGATTTTGTGTTTCAGCAAGATGGTGCAGCGTGCCATACCTCAAAAAAGGCTATACACTGGATGGAAGAAGATAATGTAACACTTTTGAAATGGGTTTCTAGCACTCCAGATCTGTCACCTATTGAAACTTTGTCGCACGAGATGAAAAAGGTTCTACGACAACATCCTGCCCGTACAATCACCGAACTGAGACAAAAGCTTCAAGAAATATGGGACTGTTTTACACCAAATTTTTGCCAAAACTTGGTTAACACTATGCCCCAAAGAATTTCAGCCGTAATAAAAAATAAAGGTGATGCTACCCAATGGTAATCTTTCAATTGTTGCTTTGTTAACTTCGCGCATTTATTCGAACATTGTTTATTTGTTCAGTTGTTCTATTAGTTATAGGTCTAAGTGATTTCAAATATGTATTTTTTACGACTAGAGTGTATCTAAAATGTTTTTGAGAAAATAAATTGTTTTAGAAGTAAATAGTTTCGTCATGTTTAGTTTAGAAAGGCATATTTTGGTACAAACCTTAAAGTGGGCCAGCTGAAGTGGGAAGGGGCTCATAGTATATGCTACTAGTGTTAATCAAAAAAATATGATAGCGAAATTCGAGTTGCAGCAGTTTTGGCTTGAGCTATCCGAACAACGTGTGCATTTAGTGCAAATTTTGCAACTATCAGATTGTAACCTTTTACGCAATCAGTATGCAGTGGCAATTACTCTAGAAAGCTGAAGGTATATGTCGCTAGTTAGGTTGAGGATAAAGTCTAAGATGATGAGCGTGATGAAGTATCGTTATTAATTGATTTCCTTTCTACCAAATCTCATCTGCGTTAGGCAGTTTGACCTTAATCGACACTAGCGCGGCATAGCGGAGCAAAACTTCACACGGTTATCATTGAGCAGTAGCCATTGGACAGCCTTGTCAGCTTGTCACGAGTTTCCACTTTACTATCAGATTTGATGGTTTGTTGATTAAATGTTGTATACTGTCAAAGCTTTTTTGCGACGACTTTCAGCATGAAAGCGCTGCACCGTTGTACTGCATTACCCTAAATGATAAGTGATTAACGTTCTACTGTGATAGGGTCTGTCCATCTCCCCCGTGTCCACAACCTAGAGCAGATGACAACATGCCACATAAACCAAAACAATTGAAACCTTACGTTCCGAAACCATGCGCGTGTGTCGAACCTCCGCCAATGATCGACGTACCTTTGAAGAGGCTGCCTCCAATGTGTCCACCCGAGGAACATGAACGCTGCTTTCCTGAACGCATTTGTCCCGAGGAAGTGTGCGAAAGGGCCGATGAAAACCTCTGCGTCAGACCGAAGGTAAGTTTTGTTTGGATGCTCCCACGTACACTTAAATTCTGACTGGAGATTTCTACTTCTGTTTCTTTATCTTTTCCTTCAAATGTTGTACCTTACCTTAACCGGATGAGCGCTAGGATGCTTCATGTTCGTCAAGATACAGTCCTGTGTTTTGGAAGCATTAAACTTTACCAGATTGTTGCGTCTTCAAGCTCCTTCTACAGGGTGACTTTGAAGGTGAGTCATTAATTTTCAGATAATGATTGTAGAAGGAAGATAAACCAAAATATGCGTGTAAAAATAAAAAAAAAATAAAAAAAATGTTACCTTGTTTTATAAAGTATCCTCCCGACAAGTATTTCAGTGCGGACCTGTATTTGATCGTGCGGTCTTGGAGCACCGGCATGCCTTCCCCTGTGAGGTCTTAAGTCACCTGATTCACGAGCCCTTTGTACGACATTAACAAAGGCACGAGGGGTTGGTTGCACTCGATTGAGGAACCGATTCGCATAAATCCGTGATGCCGCGGCAGCATTTTGTAAAGACTTTGTAAATAAGAATCATGTCCACAAGTTCAGCATTTTCGTAAACATGTGCCATTTTTTATTTCGTTGGAGCCACCCAATAAACACCACTATTCACTCACGCGTTACCGACTGACACATTGACTGAATACAACTGAATGAAACAAAATTTCTTTGGGATCATCATAGCAGCCGCGGTGTTCCGGCATTTAGGCTTCTGCCTGCGCGGCTGTTTCGATATATAAAAAAAAAAAAACTGTAGTAAAAACATCGTGAAAAGCGTTTCAAATTCTTTCGCCTTTTAGTTTCCGATGCGATGAACGGATAAGGCGGATTATATCCGTTGTTGCCAAACACGAGCACATAATATTATTATTGAGACAGGGTGGTACTCAAACTTCTAAAGGGCTATAACTTTGTTACTTTAATTTTACCACAAAAATGTTAAAGGAAAAAACATTTCTTTTGATCAGATCTACTCACTGTTAAAATAAATGACTCAACTTCGAAGTCACCCTGTATAAGTACTTGTAGCATTACTTAAGAGAATGCCACAAGTGTGAATTGAATACAGTACACTTGATGTGCCTGCTTGCTCCAAGTCTACCTGTATCCATCTTGGTGGACAACTACGATAAAATGTTCAACCGTATCCTACGTGTCATATTATTGGAAGTCCTTTTTAATTTAATTCCTCAGCTGCTTGTAGCCACACATGCCCTTGTTTACCAAAACTACTGGGCAGGACTAAAGGAAGAAAGCTCAAGACAGAGAATTATCTTTCCGGATTATTTGACTCGCTTTTAATATAAAAAGGTCTTGATGTTCTCTGAAAGGAAGCTATCCCCCTTGATACGAGGGATGTCTTTTAAGTTTTGCATATGGAAATAAAACAACACGGTAGGTAGTTTTAAATGACTTTATTGTTTTTCGAAGTATTTTCTACCAAGATTAATACACATCTGCTTGTGGTCGAACAGGTAAAATTCCATCTGAAAATTACATGTATGGTTGTCAAAGGCTCATATTGAGATTTGTTTAAAGGTGAGCAATTTACCATTGCTGTCAGAGCGGTCGGTAGACATCTCCGTCATCTTAAACTTTTGTTGGTCAGTCTTAGTTTAGGCTTAGGCAAATGTTATACGACCAGTATTTACTGTGGTCCGTACCATCAGTATTTACTGTTCATTCATCAGTGACGATGGACTTCTAACGAAATATTACACGAGTACACCAGTAATTCCTCATGTTCTGGCTACATAGTCAATAAATATTATGTTTCATGATTGACACAGTAAATAATGAGCGTGTGCCATTCCGCTTAGGGGATGAAGAATCAGTACTCCTACAGTGAACTGAAAATTTCAGGAATGGCTTTCAAATAGAGTGGGAATACGTGGTTGCCAGGACTGTAAGGCCAAATTTAGTTTTGGTATTACGAGGGATGTCTTTTAGGTTTTGCATATGGAAATAAAACAACACTGTAGGTAGTTTTAAATGACTTTATTGTTTTTCGAAGTATTCTCCACGAAGATTAATACACATCTGCTTGCGGTCGAACCAATTTTCGCAGCACTTATTCCACTCGTTTGCTGGCAGATCCAAAACGGCATATTTGAATGCGTCAACTGCTTCTTCTGGTGACTGGAACCTTTGACCACGCAGTGTGTTTTTAATTTTCGGGAAAGTAAAGAAATCGTTAGGAATTAGATCGGGACTATATGGAGGATGGTCCAATAATTCCACGTTTTCTTCCGTTAAATATTGCCTTGTTTCTTGGGCTGTGTGCGAGCTTGCATTGTCTTGTTGGAGGATGTCTTCTTTCGGGGTTGATATTTCCAAGCTCGGTGATGACTTTTGGCAAAAAAATGGTGGTATACCAATCCGCCGTAATAGTTCTTTGCTCATTACGAGGAATTGTTGCAATATGACCCGCTTTTGACACAAATGTCGCGACCATCTTTTTCGAAACACTTCAAGAACGGATGACTTTTGTTGGCTTTTCTTCACCTTGGAACACCCAAACAGCCGACTGTCGTTTATTTTCTGGTTCATAACAGTAAATCCACGATTCATCACCACTAACAGTGCTGTATACATTTTTTGTGTTTCCGGAATTGAAACGGTCAAGCGTTTATTGACACCAATTAACCCTGGCTGCTTTCTGCTCCTCAGTCAACAGGTATCCAACGAGAAACTAATTTTCTTACTCCTAATTCTTCACGTAAAATTTTTTGAATTGAGGTCTTTGAGATCTTCAAGGAAGCCTTAATCTCGTGATATGTCACATGTCTATCTTCAATGATGAGTTTGGGCACAGCATCGACGATTTCCTGGGTGACTGTCGTTTTTGGTGCACCCACCCTGGAATCGTCGCTAAGGCTCACCCGTCCACGTTTGAATTCTCCATACCAACGGGAAATTGTCGACTCTTGTGGCGCTTCGTTGCCGAAAACAGACAGTAACTCAGCGAGGCATCCTTGTTGCGATAATTGTCTCTGAAAGTTGTAATAAATTATAGCGCGAAAATGGTGACACTCAAAAATTCACTGTAGTGAGAACACTGCACGTATTGTTGTGAAACTTTGAATTTAAGTTTAATAAAGAGTGAGGTTAAGATTCAGTACTGACGCTCGATCCGCGCGGCCTATTATGTTTCTATATGCAAAACTTAAAAGACATCCCTCGTACCGCAAAATTCCTTCTTTATGTTCCTCTCTTGCTTCAAATTTCTTAATCTTCCTTCCAGATAATCCGCATACCAATCGTAGTATATTAACCTTCTAAAAGTACTTGGAGTATTGCTGAACAGATTGGCATAATCGTGAATGCGGAAAACTCTGTCTGTTTAATTCTTCTTCTCTTATCTGCGGGAAGTATCTAATCCATACTTTGTTGAAGGGCTACAAAGAATTTTCAACCGCGTCATTTTAATTAAATAGGCTAGTCAACACTTTGGACTAGGTCTTAAATAGTTAATATTTGTTCTATTATACCAAATAATCAGTAGTTTATTTTTTCAGATCTGAAACACCGTAAAACTTCAATTTAAAAATATAGTTTTTTTAGATAAGCGAAAATGCTATCCGCCATGTTTGGCCCATATATTAATATGTCCTGACGTCATATCATTTGTAAACAGCAGCTCACAGCATCATAGCCTCGCAACCTTTTAAACTTGTACTGTACTTACATAGAAGCCTTGATGATCATCAGCTCAGCATAGCAGAAATTTGGGTTGAACGCAAAAAAATTACAAACCATCTATGTGTCAATTTTCGACACATGTGTGCGTTCTGCTTTTACAAATCCAACGCCTATAATTGTTTTTTCCAACAGAACGAGAAAACGACAACCTTTTAAGTTGGTTAGGGATTTTTTTAGAAATGTCTAAAGAAGACAGCGTTAGTCCACGAGTGACATACGGATGGCATTCTTTATTTACAATTTGTATGACGTCACATCATGGCCATTAGTGTTTTCATCGATTCATATTAAAAATAAACTGTTTTTTTTTAAATTGTTACTTATACAAACGTCCCCAAAAAAGTGTGCTATATTCTACCAGCGGTTTCTAGAGCTTAAAATAGGAAGAAAAGTTTCTATAAACACTGGTCGACAAACGTCCCCTGAGGGCGCTACGGTCTTTTAAAGGGGCTCCACTGAAGATGGTTTTTCCTTAATATTTCCGAAACATGTTGAGATAAAGACATAAAATTTGGTATTCTAGCCTAGTTTTTTATGCTGGATTTAAAAATATTAACAATTTTAGACAGTATTGTTTGGAAGCGTATGTAACAGGGACGGACTCAGGTTATTTGAGCCCCAAAATTTTTGTGTGATTCTATTTTTGAAATTCAATTTTAGAATTTGAAAATTTAGGGTTTTCTACATAAAAAGGTACTCTTATTGAATATCGAAAATTGTGCTATTTTTGAATAAAATCAAACTAAAAAATTTGTCACATGATAGGAAATGTACTGCGAATTTAAATGAATTGTTGAATAATTAGCCATGGCAAAGGAAAAACTAATTTAATAATTGATAAATATTACATACATACATATTTCTATTGCAACATAGCTAGCATAGCTAGCATTTAGGCAAAAACAAGAGAAATACATTTTTTCTACGAAAGAAATTAAAATTTCTTTAAAAAAGAAGACATACAGTTGGATATACTTAAAACTAGCTTTACAATAAGTGTTAAATAAATTCCCATTTTATTGGATACAGAGTCTCGCTCGACGAACTAACGATTGCGTAGCCCGAAAAGTGGAAAACCTTTTTCTTCTTATTTCATTTGCAGCCTGATGGATTCTACAAAAATAGAAATCCAATGGATTTAGGTCAGGTGAACGTGGCGGCCATGCTATAGGACCTCCTCTGCCTAACCACCTGTCTGGAAAATTGACATTCAACCAATTTCGAACATTGCGTCCAAAATGTGCAGGGGCGCCATCATGTTGAAAAAACATATTTTCTTGAAACTGCTGGCGAACATCCAATGCCAATGGTATTAAATACATGGGCTCATTCTGAAGAAAGTTGAGGTACACCTCTGCTAATATCCACTGGCAAAACTCGATTCGTGGTAAAAAATCTGCCTCCGTTAAATGCTGCACCCGTTTAAAATGCTAAGGATGTAATCCTTGCATTCTTGTCATTCTTCCTATCTAAAATTATTATTTTTAGGATAAAAATCAAATAGGTATTCATAAATTTTTTTTACTATTGATCGAGGTATATCCATATTTTCTGAAACATTTCGTATGCTTATTTGCGGATTATTTTCAAACATATACTAAGTGACATATAAATCCGAACACCCAGTTTAAATGGTTTTATTTTAATAAAAGTTGGTGAATGTATTTATCTTACTGTAAATAACAAGTGAAAAAATTTTCAGCCTTATCAGTTGGACATTCCGGTTTTTATACTGCTTTTTTTTAATTCACTAACGCTCTAAAAATGAATATTTCAGCCGCAGTAAAGAATCAACGTTAGCGGATTTTGGTTCTTGACATCCTTTACGATCGGTTACGATGCCTAGAGTACGGAGACCTGTACGATTTCGTCAACTTAGTGAGTTTGATACGGGCCGTGTAGTGGGACTTCGGGAAGCTGGAATTTCTTTTCGGGCAATTGCAGTTAGAGTGCAAAGAAGTGTAGACACTGTGGTTAGGTGTTGTCAGGCCTGGTTTCGAGAAGGCGGTACGCAAAGAACAAGGGGCACTGGACGCCGCCGTAGAACAACAGACCGTGAAGATCGCCGCCTAAGATTATTGGCCTTAAGGGACCGTTTCTCCACTACCAGGTTCATTGCAAATGAATGGTTTGCAGAACACGGAAGACCTATTGGCATGCGAAGTGTTTACCGACGAATGAGAAGTTTTGGCTTGTTTTCATACCGGCCACACTGGGTCCTCCCTTTAACTCGAGAACACCGACGTAATCGCCTTGAGTGGTGCAGACAACGGTCACTCTGGGATCAGGAATGGAACAGTATTGTCTTTAGTGACGAGTCTCGATTTTGTTTAGGCATGCACGGTGGTCGTGCCAGGGTTAGAAGTGCGACGTGGTGAAAGGAGGAATCCACAGTTTTTTGTTGAGAGACATGTTCATCACACTGTTGGAGTTATGGTTTGAAGTGCTATGGCTTATGGTTCCAGGTCACCTTCAATCTTCATCAGAGGTAACATGAACGCGCAGCGTTATATCCACGAAGTTCTAGAACCCCATCTTTTACCCTATCTTGACACCCTGGCAGATCCAACTTTCCAACAAGATAATGCCCGACCACATGTTGCAAGAGTCACAATAGACTTCTTTCAACATAATGATGTCACATTGTTACCATGGCCACCAAGATCACCCGACTTATCCCCAATTGAGCACGTGTGGGATATGATGGGTAGGAGATTGCTCAATTTGCAACGTCCTCCTCAGACTCTAGAAGCACTTCGAGAGGAGTTGGTGGTTGCCTGGAATGAGATACCACAGGAGGACATTGACCACCTGATCAGAAGCATGCCTAGGCGCGTTGGAGAATGCGTAGCACATCAGGGTGCATCCACACATTATTAAAGGTCAAAGGGCTTTAAAGCAGTGCAATCATTTTGAAATTTTTATCATTTACTTATTATGCTTCATTAAGTACTTATACAAAATTTTATTAAAATAAAACCATTTATACTGGGTGTTCGGATTTATATGTCACTTAGTGTATTTAAAGCAATATCCATACGATGATTTCCCAGTGGCCTTCCTGAGCCCTGCATGCGCTGAAAACTTCCATGGTTTGACAAATTCCGGTGAATATCAGTAAACATTCGACGTCCAGGTACTGTGCGATTGGCAAATCTTCTTTGATATTCTCTTACGGTTGCCAATGAACTGCCATTGCAAAACCCGTACACAAAATGCATGTCAGTCAGTTCTCTGTCTGTAAATCTTGGCATTTTAAATCGATTTAATAAAAAATTTGATTTTAATCTAGTAATTTTACACTGCTAACAATGTCAGCTTAACGGCAAAATAAGTCATAACAAATGAAAACAACTTTTGTTTACAGTCATGGCTAACTATGTATAATCAACAATTCATTTAAATTCGCAGTACATTTCCTATTATGTGAAACATTTTTTAGTTTGATTTTATTCAAAAATGGCACAATTTATCGATATTCAATAAGAGTACCTTTTTATGTAGAAAACCCTAAATTTTCAAATTCTAAAATTGAATTTCAAAAATAGAATCACACAAAAATTTTGGGGCTAAAATAACCTGAGTCCGTCCCTGTTACATACGCTTCCAAACAAAACTGTCTAAAACTGTTAATATTTTTAAATCCAGCATAAAAAACTAGGCTAGAATAAAAAATTTTATGTCTGTACCTCAAAACGTTTCGGAAATATTAAGGAAAAACCATCTTCAGGGGAGCCCCTTTAAAAGACCGTAGCGCCCTTAGGGGACGTTTGTCGATCTATGTTTATATAAACTGTTCTTCCTATTTTAAGCTCTAGAAACGGGTGGTAGAATATTGCACACTTTTTTCGGGACACCCTGTATATCCAACTTGCGCTTTTGATAATTGAAATCAATGTATTTCGTTTTCCTAAGCCAAATACTGTAAGTAGTACTATTTTTTCTATTTAATTGGTGAAGCAGCGGAGGCGTAGGGGTTGACGTTATGGGTCTCTTAATCAGCCGCCGCGCATCTGCGCGGGTTCGAATCCCGTCCCAAGAGAATTTTTCTCTTGACTATGTATGTTTTGATTATCCGTATGTAGTAAACGATCTCTGACTGTCGAATGCGGAGGTACCACCCGCCGGATCTCTAAGGCGGGGTCAGAATGTGTGCATGTTGAATACACACGTGCCAGAGTACCTGTTGCGTCCCCCGTTTCCCCTTTACACCCCCTGTAGCCCCATGATACCCATCGGATGCTTAGGCCTTCATATGAGTAAATTAGCCTATTATTTGTTCATTTGTATTGCATACACCCCTTTTTGACCTCGGCATGTCCAAGGAGAAAATGAAGGCTCGAGTGAGGAGACAGTTTGGAAGTTCTTAGACTATATTGAAAAAAACTTTTTTGACCACCAAAACAGCGCATTACCAAGGAGAAAACCGAGGCACAATAGTGGAGATTCTATATTAAAAAAATGCACAACGCGAAACATTCTCTTGCAGAAACTACCAGCATTGGTACCGAAAGATTGTCCTTCCATCGAACCAGAACCTATGACAGATGTACGCTTGAAGCGTCTGGATCTTACAATGCCAGAACCACCTCGAATCTGCCCTTGCGTGGAGGTCTGCCCGTGTCCTCGTGCGGATGACAACTACAAGCCGAAGCACAAACCGTTGCGTAAAATCGTACCTGGTGATTGTCCCTGCATAGAACCTGAATACAAGGATGTTCATTTCAAAAGGTATACATAGAATAGGGATACACGGGGTGATTCACAAGTCGTGACCAAAAATGAAACATCATACACAGGACCGCATTTTAAGGAGGATCTATGTAACATTAACGTGTATCAGTGGCGGAGTTACAGGGGATTAGTAGCATTATTTTTTTCAAATAAAAATAGTACCCCACTGTTACCAATTTTACCTTCAATTTGCTACGAATAATTACTCTTGTGTTTCTAGACTGCATTGTTTTCGTAAATTCAGATAATCAAAGCTTTATTTCAATAAATGTTGAAAAAGACCATAATTCTGACGGATACAAGTGCGGCATCTTTTTAATGATGGAAAACGCATTTCCACAAAATTTGTTGTGGCTTAAATTTGATGAAACGCATTATCTATTCTTTCTTGTAACTGATCAACGGTATTAATTTGTTCAGCATACATTAGTTGTTTAAAAGCGCCCCACAAAAAGAAGTCCAGGGGGTTCAAATCGGGAGACCTCGCAGGCCTATGCACGGGCCCGTTTCTGCCAATTCATCGTTGTCTAAAATGATTATTTAACCATGAGGTTATGTCACGAGGAACATGCGGTGGGGTACCGTAGTGCTGATACCACATTCTTACTCTCGTTGCTAATGGAACTCCATCTAACACATGTTCTATGTAATTCTCTAGAAAAGCGAAGTATGAGTTTGTATTTAAACGTTGCATAAACAGTTGGCAATTGAAAATGCCGCATCAGAAATTTCTAGTAGAAAATTTGTGCTGAAACGAGTGGATTCTTACAGACGGGGATTTTCCAACGACCAAATATGTCCATTATGAGATTTAAATATTCCTCTCCTCGTAAAAAGCGATTCATCTGACCACAAAACCAAGACAATAAAATCTGCATTTTGATTATCCATTTGAAGTAACCGTTCACGAAAATTTCACCGTTGCACTTTGTCGCCGGGTTGCAGACACTGCAAATTTTGCCAATGGTAAGGATGTATAACTTCCCAATTTAACAACCGCATAACACATAACTTTGACAAACTATCTCCCAAAAAACGTCAAGTTGGTACCAAGGCCTCTTATTTTATTTTGAAACTAATTTTATCTCGGCTCTTCATGAATGATCCTTTTTTTTACGAAAACAGTGTACATTATTTGTAGCATTGAAGGTGAAATTTGAAAAAAGCGTTTCAGAAAAAAAAAACAGTGAGGTACTACTTTTACTTTACCCTGTATCTCCGCCACTGATGCACGTTAATTTTGAGTACAGACTTTTGAATGTGGACAATACTTAGATAAATCCACATACCAAATTTTGAAGATATTAAAACACTATTTTTTAGTTTTTAACTTTTAACACCCTCTAACTTTTTAATGAAGCCCTGGAGGAAAAAATGTTACATAGAAGACCCCCCTTAGAATGCCGTGCTGTGTATGATGTATTTTTGGTCACGACTTGTGAATCACCCTGTTTAGAATACTAGCATATAGACTTAGAAAAATCAAACTGGGATGCTTAAAAATTGACTATGAATACTATGACATAAATGATGCGTG